ATGGGGAGCTTGGGATAAGCGCCTCAAGGAACAGCTGAGAGCCAAATCTAACATGAGCCTCTAGAACAGTATAGATGTCTGCAAGGCATTCGAAGCAACAAATCGCCATGAGGGAAATTAGGTGGCCTTGGATGTGGCGTCCATCCAATCCCGGGCCTCTCACTCCAATGGACAGTATTCATTCATCTCACCAGAATAAAGAAACAAGCAGAGGTAATTGGGGTGCGTCCAAGGGACGTGCTACAGGAAATAGAGCACAACCATATACCAAACCTGCTCGCAATCAGAATGGTCCTCATAAGAATGAAACTCCAGCCACGTACAAGTGTCGCAAATGCACTTATGTACATGCCGCAAAACAATGTCCAGCTTGGGGTCATGAGTGCACCAAGTGTGGCGAGATGAACCATTATGAAGTTGAATGTGATGGAAAACCATGGAAAAGGAAGAACAACTTCCGTTCCACCAAGTCTGTGCATCAGCTGAAGGAGGTCAACACCAGTGAGGAAGAATCCTTCCCTGGTCGGAGTCTCACAATGTTCACATAGAAATAACATAGCTGATATAAGTACTAGCTATACACTGTAAAAAATGTTGGGAATTCTACTATACGCGTGTATAGGAAATTTCCTATACATCGTATCGGAAGTGAAAATTCCTATAAATGTATAGGAATTTCCCCATTTGGGAAGATGTGTATGGGAAAAGTACCAAGTGTATAGGCAAATCCCCAGAAATATATGGGAAAATTCCGATACGTGTCTGGTAGGCGAATTTTCCTTAATATATATAGGAAATTTACTAGATGATGGCGATTTTCCTATACAATGTTTGATATTTAAAAAAACGGGTAAAGATGTGCACATCTTTCTACCTTTCACATCTTGGTCGGCGCGGTCATTTTATGAGCTTATTTCTGACGCTTGACGCAACGCCACACCGAGGGTTGGACACATTTAGAGTCTATTTAGCAGTTTAAACTCTCATAATAGAATTTCAAGTCAGGGCAGGCAGTAAAATTCAAAACTCGACATCAAAACATCTAGGAGTAAATCCCCAAAGCCGTGGGCTAGCCCCGGCACCGCGCCGACACCTGGCTGACCCTCTGGGAATGGCCCAGCGAGGGGCGGCGCGCGGCTCTGGGATCACCCAGGCTCGGTGGGGCTGGCCTCCCAACAAGTCTCCGTGGTCTAGTGGTCAGCGTGATGGGATCGCAAGCCAGAAGTCCGAGGTTCAACTCTCCATCCGGTAAGGTATTCCATAATTGTATCAACGCTCACTTACTTAAATGAAATTACCGAAAG